AACCAGGGTGACTGCTTGAGTGTTCTACCTACGTTTAAATTGTGCTTTTGGGTAGCTGAGCCTCAACATGTGATACAAGCAAATGGGAATATTTCTTTAGCCTGTGTTGTTATGTGAAAACATAGTATTCATATGTGTTGTTAGGTTCCTCCCCTCACCCCTCAGCTGAGGCTGATCCTTATCTTTAAATTTAGTAAAGATAGATGAGAAGTTTGTTGATCTGAAATTTTTCATTTAAATCCACATTAGATACTGAAGAATCTACACAAAACTTACAAGAAAGTAATTTACAAAAAACAGTTGTTTCTGAAAAGCCTTGTGTATAACCTAACTAAAGTAATGGTTGTAGTAAAAACTGAAAATATCTGCCTTAACTGATGGTGTAATCCAAAGGTAAACATAGTACATTCCATCCTTTGAGAACAGCCAGATTGACTGTGTCCCTGATCAGCACATCCTGAACCAGTGTAACTCTGTGTTTCTCTGTTAGCAATTATGTCGAGTAGTTACAGCTTTATTTTGCAGGAATAAAAAGAAGACTGAGCTTCTTAGATTCTCAGCAGAACTGTAACATTCTGAACATTCTTTAAGTATGTGCTCTTTTCCTAAAGTATAGCTGTTTCTGCTTTGACATTGATTACTCTATGTTCTCACTTAAAATGCAAAATTGATAAACAAGTGCATAGCAAGTAGCTAATAGAAACCATGTATATTGAGACTATTAATGATGTTTTGTACAGGAAAACGTATTTTTTTTGTTGTAGAGCTGCCATCTGTTAAAGCAAGAACATTTTTGCCTAAATACCATGTGAATTCAGTGTGAATGCTTTATGGACTTGCAGCTATGAAACTAGTTCTTAAAAAGCATGTTTCATGTGATTTAAGCAGTACATGTAATCTTTTTCTCCTGAAATAGTCTGATCATGTTTTTAAATACATGTTGTTAGACTTAAGTCACAAGGATTTCAAGTTTTTCCTAGGTATCTTTATTTTTTGTTTTTTTTTAATGTTATTTTAAAATACATCTGAGTGAAATGAAAGCGATGAGCTCTGGCTCCTGTTCAGGAGTGGCTCCTCTGCCCTGCTGCACTGACAGCCGTGGGTAGTGCTGCCTCTGCTCTGGCAGGCTGCTGGAAAGCACCTGGAAGGCTGAGTCTGCCTGTGGGATGGGAGCTTGGTGTGTAGGAGTGTGCTCTTGCCTCTTGGGCTGCTTTGTATCTGCATAATCTTCAGATGTGTGGGCAGATACCCCAGAGCTCTGGCAGGTGGCCACTGAGGAGGTGAATGAGGACAGTGATGCCTGTTTGTGAAGGAAGGAAAAGGTGTTACTCCTGTTTCAGGCATTGGAGTTTGGTGGTCTGACTTACTGGTGAGGGCTCCTTTTCTGCCTTGTGGAGTAAGAGGAGTTGCTGTGCCTGTGTGATCCCAAATGAAAAATTGGTCCTGTTGTCTGTATCCCCAGGAAGTTCATTCATGAGTAGGTGCCACATACTGTTTTGATCAGCTGAAAAAGTTGAAGATTTAAAACATTAGTAATTAAACCAGAAGCATTAGCTCTAATTGTAAAGTTAGCAGTCATAACCAGAGTATAAATTTAGTGAATATTTGTGTGATCCATATTCTGTGGAGGTTGTCCAAATCCAAATGATCTTCATCATCAAAATGGTGAACATCATGTTTACACGATAAATGATTCAGAAAGTTCCTTTTTCTTGCAAGGGGTGTGCTGAAGGCAAGGAGTCCTTTCCCCTCATGTGATCAGTTTGAGTGTATTGAAGAACATGAGTTACATTTGGAGGTTTTGGGGAGTGCTGTTATAGTTATAGACTTGCCTCACCTCGCCTGTTGCTTCTTTTTTGTGAACCTTTATCAGGGTGGTGGATTTGCAGAAAGTGGTCACTGTGTTACTTGTTTAAAGTATTTGTTTTGTATTTGCATTTCAATTTTAAACAAGCATGGACTCTGGAGTATTTTTAGTCTCTTGTCACTGTAAATTGGAACTTGAAAACCATCTTTGGAAGAGACAACTATTGCCTCAATTGAAATTTAAAGATTAACAATATTACAGTGCTATGTTTTGACTTCTGGAGTTAGTATATAAGGTGAAAGGCATGCCTGACAGTGAAAACAGTCTTCAAGCAACAAAATCCAATTCTTACTTGTGTTATATTTTATAGTACAAAACATTTACTTTGCATCCTTGGCATTCTTTTGCATCTTTGTGATTTTTGTATGATCAAAATGGCACAATTATCTAAAATGTTAGTCTATCATGCAGCCTTCAAAGACAAAAAATTAAAAAATTTAAAAAACTTTCATATATAGACATAAAATAACTTCTCTTTGCCTTTCTGCAAAAAGAACAGCAAATCCACATGTTAATAAACCTTCTGTGCTTTGTATGGTAGAATATTTTTATCTCTTTGGTTTGCTTGCTTTTATTATAAAAACAAGCCACAGAGGACAGAGTGACTGGCAGTGGTAGTAATATGACTTCTCCCATTTCTAGTATTTTCCCAAATTTAACAACAAAAGAGAAGGACAAATTTCTGAGCACTTTCAGTCAGTGCCTCTGACTGTTCAGACAGGATGAATGGGTTATATATTTTGAATCAACATACATCATCTAAACATTTCAGTTTGGATTTCATTAATGTTGGGTATATATTTGCAATAGAGGGTAAAGGTTTTTTTATTTACTTATTTTAACTTGGCAATTTGAAGGAAATGTTGGATCTGTAGGAACTACCTGTTGATGCATTACATGGTCAAAATCTTGAATTTTGAAACCTATTAGTAAAACATGGCAAAACTTTCAGTAGAAATATTGATGCTATTGAAGAGAGTTAAGTTCATATAAAGACTCTTTGAAACAGCACTTCAGAAAAAAATTGCTGCCTTCTTAGGAGTGATAGAAAGATCTCTACAACAAGAAATTAGCAGGAGACTGATTAAGTTTACTGTATATTCCTCCCCTGGGATTTGTTGCAAATGCATCAACCCCTGTGAATCTACCCGAAGAATTTAGTTGAAGTTTTGTGACAACGGTTTAATTTTCAGTGCTGTTGTGTTATGATTTCTTGCCTTGGAGGGGAGGTTGCATGGGAGATATTTTGGAACTTGGAAAAAGTGTTGATATTGGTGTCCTAGTGCTGGCTGAAAGATTGCCTGGTCAGTGGTGTGCACTGTCTCTGGCAGCTGACTTCCCCTTTCTCAGCATGGTCATTCTGACAGTCTTGGAAATCTTGGCAATTCCTACCTCCTCTTCTCTGCTTCTCACTGTAGTTTGATAATTTGTAAAAAAAATCTGTTTACCTGCCTGGAGTTGCTTTTTGTGGATCTCCTTTGTCTTTGAATCAGTTACAGATAATACAAAACAACAGGAAGCCCCAACCTGTCTGATTTGTATGGAAGTATGATGGATGGGAAGGCAAAGCCTGAGGGCACCTTTGGTTTCTCTGGAGTGTGGCTGTGGTTTGGTTTCAGGAATTGCTGATGGAGCTGGGATGGCATGTGGGTGATTTCTTTCAATGGGCCAGGGAGAGCAGATCACTAATGATTTGTTTGTGTATGCTGTCCACTGCTTACTACACAAGGGCAGCACAGGGAGAAACTGCAGAGCTGCTTGGTGACTCTGTCTGTTAGTGATGTTACCACAACAATGCTGTAAGAATGGCAACAGTGCTTCCAGCACAAGCCATTCATTAGTTTCTTGAATATTTTGCAATTGCCTTTGAAAATCTTTTCTAAGAGTTTTTTCTAACCTTTTGAATAGCCTAGAGGAATTACTGGGAAGATTTGTGTGTTTTAACAGCTATTGGATTCTGTGTGGAGTGTAAATAGCTTTGTGTGTGGAGGCACATAGGTTTAGCAGAATAAATTTATTACAGGAAATTTCCTTATGTTAAAGATTTAATGGTGTCAGAAAAGATGTTCTGTATCGTCTGTCTCTAGAACATTCAGGATTTGGAGCAGGGAATAAGAAAACAATAAATTGAAAAGTAAGGGGTAGTATCTCCGTCAGACACCTAATCCTTGGAAGGCCTTGGCAAGTTTGGCCAGGTAATAGGCAGGGATACTTCATCCTTGTGGGAGGAAAAAGTTGTTCAGGCCTTGCCTCTTGCTTGTATGAAAGCTTATTTCATTGTTTATATTCGAAGCTGCTAGTGAACTTTTGTGTCTTCACCTGACAGGGCTTGGCCTTGTAGGCATCAGTAACACTGGCTGCTGCACCTGCTCCCCCATGGGGGTGCCTAAGAAAGGATGCACTTAACTCAGGAAAAAAAAAAATCTTATGAGCATTTGCATTTTTATCTCTCCTCTTTTTCCTGCTAATGATTCAGTGCATTTTGCAACTCTTATTACTGGTCAAAGCCTTGTGTATCGATCTTGGCAATATGGCAGACATCTTTCCTCCCATCTTACTGATGGGAAATGAGAAGCTCACAGTTTGGAATGGAGGCTGTGCTTCCAACATGGTATTCCAAAGGCCTCTTAACTAGTTTGTCAGAATGTATTGTGTACGTGTGTAGCTTTTTTTCTGTTTAGATGGAGCTACTATTGCATATTCCCTAAAATCTGCAGTTACAGCTGCAGCACACATAGTGCTTATTTGCATTGATTTAATTCTTCTGCTGATCTGCTATTTCCCCTGCTATCTGTAGGTCAGGTAGTCATATAGTTAAGCAAGTGGTTGGTGCCCCTGAGGAGTAATGGGATGATGCAGGTTTTATCAGACAGAGTCATTTGTGTGGTGTAAGTAGTTTTAATTCACATTATTTAATAGTACATTCAGGTGCCTATAGTGATGTATTTAATTTCATAGAGCAGCTAAACATAAGAAAACCTCCTTCCCCTAAACAGTGCAGAGCTAGACTAGTTAAATGTTCCTAAACTCAACCATAGAGTTGAGAAGATTATTTCCTTTATTCTTCTGCTGATGTTCATTAATCATAAATACCAACTGAATTACAGTGTAATGACTGTATTTTTCTTTTCAGGGCATAAGGGACATTGTTGTGTGATAGAATGGATGAACAATCACAAGGGATGCAGGGGCCTACTGCTCCACCATTTCAGCCACAGGTACATATCTGGGATTTTTTAAACTGTAACTCATTTCTTAAATAGAGCATGGGATAACATTGTTTCTTGTGGTAACAGTGAAACTGTAAACAGATAGAATGTATTCTCATGATCTTGAAATGAATTCTATATCAGTCCAGTATTCTGTAGAAAATAATTAGGTTTAATTTTTGCCTCCTGCTGCTTCACTGACTTTGGGGAGTTGGGAGTTGTAGTGTGAGGAGGAAGCAAAAAGGAATACAGTTGTTTCCTTAAGAACTGTTGAGTTGTTAAACACTGTTTCAAAATTGTATCCAAAGTATCATATTTATTTCAGACTCTTGCCTTCACCTATTCTTACACCTCCTGACAGTGGTACTATATGAATTTCTGTCATTACCTGTTTAAACTAGGCATCAGGTTTCAATTGGTTTCAATTCCACCACCTCCCTTTCACTGTCACCCTCACAGTGAAAAAATCTTTCCTGATGTTCAGATGAAATCTTCTGTGTTTCAGACTGTGCCCATCACCTCTTGTCCTGTCACAGGGCACCACTGAAGAAAGGCTGACTCTGTGTTTTGACATGTGTTTTTCAGGAATTTGAGCCCATTGATGAGATTCCCCCTGAATCTTCTCTTCTGTAGGCTGGATGTTGCCAGTGCTGTCAGCCTTTCCCCCTGTGATGTGTGCTGCAGAGCCCTGGTCACCTTCTCCAGTATGTCTGTGTAGGGTGGCCCAGAGCTGGATGCAGCACTCCAGCTGTGCTCCCACCAGTGCTGAGTAGAGGGGAAGGATCATCTCCCTCCTCCTCCTGGCACCACTCCTCCAAATGCAGCCCAGGACATCACTGTCCACCCCGGCTCCATTGCTGGCCCGTGTTCACCTTGGTGTCCAGTGGCACCCCCAGGTCTGGCCTGTGCAGCTGGTTCCCAGCAGGTCAGTGCCCAGTGTTCCTGGTGCATTTTGGGGTTACATGTGGGGCTTCCGACTTCCCTGTGTTGAATTGTGAGGGTCCTGTCAGCCCATTTGTGCAGCCTGTCAGGGTCCCCTGGGATGACATCATGACCCTCTGGTGCATCAGCCAGTCCTCCCAGTTTGTGTCATCAGCAAACTTACTGAGATCACACTTGGCCCCATTATCCAGATGATTAATGATGGTGTTGGCCAACACTGGACTGAACCTTCTGTTGATTCCTGAGGTACACTAGGAATCAATAATCAATTCCTGCTAGCTACAGTCCTCCACCTCAGAAACTCATTTGCTATTTGGAATGAAGTGCTTGAAAGCTCCATCAGAGCTTTTATCTATGAAGTTAAAACACTGTACTCCCTTACATCACAAGGATGTTTCAGAGTGCACATATTACTCCAAAACTGCTTCCACATTGTAAAAGGAATTATGGAGGAAGATAGAAAAATATGGATTAGCAGTCTGAGGCAGTAGACTCTAAAGTTCCAGAACTTCTGTGAGAGTAGAATGGTGGGAGCATTTTAGCATCTAAATAGAGAAAAGCATTAATCTCTGACTAGACCTGAAAAGCCATAAACTGAAGGCAGCATATACATCCCTTACTTTTTGGGGTTTGTTTCTGTGGGGTGGTGTTTCTTATTTGTTTTGGCATTCCCAAAGCTGAAGAGCAGTGATTTATTAAGTCTTTTCTTATATGGAAACATATTTCTGGTCAGCATTGCTATTCTGCTGTCACCTTGTTTGCCTGTATTCCCCTCAAACTGAGAGCTCAGAGTGCAGTATTGAGTATACACAATATACTTAAGTAATGAAACATTTTGTTTTCTGTTTCATTCAGTTGCTTTTCCTACAAATGTCTGACTTGCTTTTTGGTGGTAACTGACCAATCAGTTTAACTTTTCATGGAAGTTTTTCAATGGTGTTTTGTAAGTCTTTTCCTGTGTGGTAATAGCTAATTTTAAAAACAACGATTCACAGTCTTTAGGGTGGTGTTTCCCATTAAGTTTTGGATTGCTAACCTTGAGATGCTAGTATTGAGTACCAGGGTGAAAATCTAAGGGAATCTTCTGCAAGGCTTTGCAGTTTTATTTTCAGCTAGTTATCTGGATAAATTTGGAATCTGAAGAAACTTTATTGCAGCATTATATGCATTGAATAGTGTCGTTTCCTTTGGGATTTCACTGGTAACTTCTCCAAGAAAATAACTTTTCTGCTGCTGTTTCTCATCTTGGAGCTGGCTGTTAGTCCACTTAATGTTCTCTCTCAACCTGGTGAGCTTAGTTTTATAGGTTGGGGATCCTCACTGAAGGAGCCTAGCTGAACATTTTTAGAAATGTGTGATGTGATTTCTTCAACAGAAAAGCCCAGTTAGGAAAAACCTGTCTGACTCCACTCTTAACTGCTTATTGGAATCTCTAAATTGTTTCAATCCATCTGTCTGTTTGGTTTTGGTTTTGAACTGAATCTGTAAGTAATTAGAAGGAAATGATCAAGTTATTTTTTGAGTTTTATTTTAACAATTCAGACGAGTTTTTGGCTGGGTGTAGTGCACTGGCATACAGTGATGGAGCAGTACTGAGGAGGTTGCAGTGGGAGAGAACAAGGACCTCC